GCCTGAGGCTCACTCCCGGCCACTCTTTTGTCTCTGTGGGGAGAGATGTGGTCACTTTCAGAGGCACCAGGTTGAGGCCCCGCCCCCAACACACACATCCAGTCCCACTACCTCTACTGGGGTACCAGGACCCCTGACCACCATTGCACCTCCCCCCCATCCCTCACGACAACCTTTTAAAATAAATGCAGCACAGAAGGGCTGACATGTATTTGGACTTATATTTGGAATTGCCATTGGAAACAGTCCTGGCCAAATGTAACATGCATCTGTTGGGGATGATTTGAGAGTAAGAAAATGAGATGGTTCAGTAGGAGGAGGCTGGGCAGCCCTGGGACTCAGCGTTGGAAGGGAGTCGGGTCCCCTGGCCCTCACGTTGCCCCCAAACCCTCATCCCTCCAGCCTCGGCTGCTCCTCTGCCCAGGGCCAGTCTCTTCAAGCTAGACTCCCCTGACAGTCCAGCTTGAAGTGTGAAGCCAAACTTTCTTCCTGAACCTTTTGCCCACTGGTCAGTCTTTCAGGAGTGTGGGGAGGTCTCCTTCCTGCTGAGTCCCTTCATCTCGAGGGGACCGGCTCCTTCCTGCTCACCATTTGGCATCTGCATGGAAGGTGAGGTCTGTTCAGGCCCTGACCTGCCTGTCGTTTGCTCCACCTCCCACGTTCTCTGCCTGCTTCTGCTAATGCATCCTGAGCTGCATTCCTGTCCCTGCAGTTCTGTGATGATTCGTTATGAGCTTATGTCAGCTAAACCCCTTATGTATTTTCCATGTTGGTCATTCCCCTACTTCATCGTTGTGCAGTTGACTTTACAGACTGAAATGTGGACATTTAGGTTGGTCTCTTTACATTTCAGCTTGTTACATGTGTGTCTGCTCTAGCTTTTTGAGTTCTATTGGGTACTTATTAGTGATACCTTTGCTGTCCTTGTCAACATTTTCTGAGAAGCTTTAACCCATCCAAGTGGCTCTCCCTCATCCAAGGTCATTAGCTTACTCTTTTTCCCCAGAGAGTAGTTGTGGGGGAAATTATAGCATTGTTTATTGAAGACGTTCTAAGGAAGCTTTAGCCTAACTCTTCAGGAGGACCCAAGCAGTGCTCCCTGAAGGAAAGAGCTCTGGTCTGCTTTGGCCTCCCTTCTGTTCCTTTGCGGAAAATCCGGCTGCATGGCCACAGTTCTGCACACTCGGGGCTACTGTTCTGGGGCAGAGTGGTTGAGAGGTGTCAACAAAAACTCCTCAGTCTCCTTTGGAATTTGGGTTTAGAATCTGTATTCGTTTCCTCGGGCTGTCATAATAAATAACCATGTACTTGGTGGCTTAAAACCATAGAAGTTTATTCTCTCACGGTTCTGGAGGCCAGCAGTCTGAACAAGACGTCTGCCGGGCTGGTTCCCTCTGGTGGCTCTGAGGGAGAATCTGTTTGTGCCTGTCTCCAGCTTCTGGTGGCTTCTGTCAACCTTGGTGTTCCTTGGCTTGTAGGAGCATCACTCTTGTCTGTGCCTGTCTTCACCTGGTGTTCTCCCTGTGTCTGTGGACACCAGTTATTGGATTAGGAGTCCCCCTAAATGCAGGATGACCTCATCCCAAGATCCTCGGCTTGATTACATCTGCAAAGACCCTATTTCTAATTAAAACAATCACATTCACAGGTACTGGGGTGAGGAGTTGGACATATCCTTTTGGCGGTCACTGTTCAATCAACAGGAGTCGGTGGCCATTCATTATGGTGAATTAGGTCCCTGTTCAGATACTTGCTGATAAAGTGGGGCATGGAGAACTGCCCAGTGTGGGTGCTACCAGTGGGGTTCCAGGGAATCCCAAAGCCCACTGCAGATTCTGTGGGCACATCCAAGGTACCTGGAGGTGACTGAGGGGCCAGAGAAGTCACTTCTGACTCTGCCCAGGAAATGGCCTGGCCTAGTTCTGAAAGGCTGTGATCATGACCCGTAGAAGGTAGAGGGGTCATGAGTTCATTTCGGCACACCCCGAACAGGTGAAAATCAGTAGTCTCACCTGAGTGGGGATGGGCTTACCTGGCTGGAACATTGGACATGCCCCAATTGTTTTCTAGGGATTACTCCTTCACCTCTAAAGAATTGTGTGGAATCAGCAGATTCTTCGTGAAGTTCCTTTGTGTTTAAAATTGAGTCAGGCTTAGGGGCTCTTGTTTTATTTATGAGCCAAATGTCTATGAGAAATGTTATTATCACAAAGAAAAATCTCAGTGTGAAAACCTTGAGCCAATGATTGGATTTTTGTAAGGGAATTTATGTGATAGAATTCCAGTTCCACCAAACAATTTGGATATTTCTGTGGGCATCCTTGGTAAGAACTCTGGGCTTGGACATCTAATTAAATGTAGGTCTGGATGACAGTTTCAGAAGCATCTGCTACTTTTCATTGACATAGTTTCTTGGGCTGAGCTGTGATATGGATAGGACTGATAGGAAATGTGTGGTCCTGGAAGGGCACCCCATCAGACGGTTTGCTGCATGGTACCTTTCGGTGCGTACGGCTGAACCACACCTTGAGGCTCATGCAAATCTTATTTTGGCATTTATTGATCTGCCGTTTAGGTCGTAACTATGACTGACCCTACAGTGACAGGCGCCTGTTTCGGTCCTGATATGTGTGCTAATTCTGAAGGAGGAAAATAGCACAGCTGACATTGGGGCACCAGTAACAGGCTAATGTGGTGTGGTTGCAGAAAATGTACCCAGACAAGTACAAATTTGGGAAGACATGCCACTTTCCAGGGTATGTTTGGATTCTCGGCAATCTGTGGGCAGATCCCAAACATCTCAGGACTTCTAAGCGGTGGTGTCCTCTGTGGATATTGGCAGTGGATGAATTCTCAAGGGCCATGTTGAAGGCATTTTGCCAAGTGGCGGACACAGAGGTGATTAAGATCTGGTCCTGTCCCTAAGCAGTGATGCTTGTGGTGTTCTTACTGTCATTAGAGGTGTGGGATAGTGGAGAGGGAGAATTTGCAGCAGACTCATGCCATAAGGGGACCTCAGTTTCTGTAGGAGGGGTGCGTCTGAGTCCTGGGACGGAAGTACTGGTGCAATTGGCAATGCAGATGTTAAAGCCCCAGATTCATGGGTATGGAATAAGAGTCACAGAATTGCCTCTACTGGAAAGAGTGAAGCCAGGCTGGAGAAGTTGGGGGGATAGGAAGTATGGAGCTGAGAGGAGAGAAGCGTGACTCCGTGGAGCCATGGGGACCACATTTTATATCAGCCCAGTTTCACCCTTGGCCGGGGAGTGCAGGTGATGCAGTTGGGGGTTGTGTGTGTGTGAAGGGTGTTGGGCAGAGCTGTGGGGGCCCTGAGGAGGTGTGTGCACCAGTAGGGAGAAATATCTTTTTTTTTTTTTTTAAAGATGCCCGGTAAGAGGATCTTAACCCTTGACTTGGTGTTGTCAGCACCACGCTCAGCCAGTGAGCAAACCGGCCATTCCTATATGGGATCCGAACCCGTGGCCTTGGTGTTACCAGCACCGCACTCTCCCGATTGAGCCATGGGCTGGCCCATAGGGAGAAATATCTAAAAAAAAAAAAAAAAACAAGGGGGATTTTTGAAAGCCCAAAAAAGGAAATACTTTCTCTGTGAGCAGAAACAGAGGAGGAAAAAGGAGTAGAAAACTTGCAACCCAGAGTTATATTAAAGAAAAAAAATTATTATGACATTCGTTAAAATGGTAAGGCCGACTTTGTTCAGGACTATTGCAATACGTATAGGGACCACTGTGATGGGGGTTTGCAGTAGAGTCAAGAGATTGTGCTCAACTCTGAATACAACAAGGAAAAGGAGGGATTTCATGGCCAAGGAGCAGGATGAAGGGGTTGGTGGAAGGAAAATTACTAAGAGGAAACATCAAGGGTAAGGGGTAATGATTCTTGCTGAAGACAGACCAGGTGACATCACCTGGGGTGTGGTGGGCAGTGAGGACCCTATCAGATATCAAGGGTGGGGGATTCTGGTTAAACCAACTTAGCAAAGTCAAAAAACAAAATTCCAACAAATTTAGTTTAAAGATTGAATTGGCTTTTAATAGAGCAATTCATGAATTGGGCAGTTTCCCGTTTTTGTAATAGAAAGATGCTCCAATGAGCTGAGCAGAGAAGGTGGGCTTTATGGGCAGAAAAGGGCTGAAGAAGCAGAAATGGGGAACAAAAAGCAGATTGGTCGTCACTATGAGATTAAAGCACAGGGGACTTCCTTATCATGCTGGCTCAGGTTGACTGGGCCCCTTCTGAACAGTTGCTGTGAATCTCCTGTTTTTTGGAAAACTGGCCCTTTTCTAAGTGCAGTTTGATTAAGTGGCACCCAGAACGAGTAACTCTATTCTGGTTTGGCCTGGTCTGTTGGGATCTAGTGCAGGAGCTCAGTCCAAAAGAATGGCTCCCATACATTTTATTTAACAGCAGGATTCTTGCTCAAATAGTGTAATGCAAAGATGGATATGGAAGTCCTAAAGTCAAGGCCTGGTTGGGAAGAGGGTTTAGAGGAGCCTGCCTAGAGTGTGGTCAAGGAAGGCTATCGGTTCCTGCATGAGAACATGGCTACATACGTGTGAGTGTTGTCTGTGTGAACAGATCCATATCTGTGGGTAAACCTATCAATCTGCAGATGTTTACAGGCCTATGTGGGGGTGCTTTTATATTGTGCTAAAAAATAGGTCCTACTAATCTAGAAGGACACATTCATAATTTTTTCTTAATGTTAGGAACGTCTGTGGAAATGAATTTTGTGTAGAATTGGAAGACAGCAAGAGTGACAGATGTGGCTGTTTGTGTTCCCTTCAGTGCATAAAGTGGAACAGGAAGGTGCATAATATTTTCATGGGCTCTCTCGGCTGTTGTACGATCTTTGTAATCTGTGTTATTTCGAAGCTCACTGTTTCTGTGAACACAATGGCGGCCTGAGGTGACTAGAAAGAAAAAAACTGCTGCTGTTTGTTTGGGGCCAGTGTAGACGTGTCTGAGACTGGGAGAACATGGGTGGCCGTGGAAGCGGGCAGGTGGCTTGTCTGCACAAGGAGGAGGAGCAGTGCAGGGTCCCGGTGAGCAGGACCAGGTAATGACCTGCATGTTGATTTCCATTGTCACCCCAGGGTGTGACTTCACCTTCGTGGGTGGTAAAGCTATCCATGTATTTCATTCACAGGTTGTACTCAGACTATCTCTACTTTGCAAGTTCGAATAAATCTGCAGACGACTTCCATGAAAAAGTGACAGAAGCTCTGCAGCTGTTTGAAAATTGCATGCTGGATTATTCGCTGCGCGCCTGCGTCTACAACAACACCCTGAACAACGCCATGCCTGTGCGTATTTACTGGGCCCCTTCATGGAGTGGGCTGTTGCGTTGTTGTTATGCAAGTGGCATTGTGCATCGAGATGTTAGCATAGACACAGAGAAGCGTTTTAATGTGCAAATGCTGATCCCCATTGCCTTTGAGCAGTGGCTAACACAGAAACAAATATCCGCGACGTGGAAACTGCGAAAACCAGTGCCCCCTTTCAGCTGGCTGCCTGCATGCTTCCCCATGGATCTCTCCCCCTGTCACTGCACTGTCTCCTCCCTGGCAAGACAGTGAGGGGCAGTTAGGAAGATTACCATGTAGTGAGGCTTGAAAACACACCTGGCAGTTAGAATCAGCACACACGATGACACCCAACTCTCAAATTATCTTAAGAGCATTCTTTCTAATGGTGGACTGTTTGGTTGGTTTAAAAAATTACCCACCAGTGTAAAAAGTACCCACCACCTTTTTCGGCAGGGTCTCAAATGGAAAATGTCTTCTGTTGATCCCTTTATCTATTCTCTTGTTTTTCCTTCAGGAATATATTTGTAAATTTCTAGCGTTTATTTTTGCTGAAAAAGCTGTTAATGGTGAATTCAGCACCTGTTAGCTAAGGGATGGTTTTCCTCGCTTGGCTCCCTGGGTTATCTGAGGGCTTCATCAGTGGGGTTTGTGCAGAAGCTGTGCCTTCCACAGTGTAGCTAATGTTACCCTGCCCCACTCTGCTCAGTGCATTGCCTGTTGTGACAGGAACAGAGCCACTGTGGGGGCTTGGGACCCCCCAGGGTGGGGGCTCAAGGTCAGGAGGCTCTGCTTCCTTTTTATTGAGGCCTTCTTGTCTGAGAGGCAAGTGCGGAGGCAGTGGGCAGGCTTCCAGGCTGCCCTTTGTAGCTTGGCACTGAAGATGAGTCAGGGACACAGATAACCACAGAACCCGGCCATAGTGTGGGTAGGAAAAGTGGGCTTCGGAGCCAGCCGGTGGTGTGGGTTCAGTTCCCATCTTGGGTATTTCTTAGCCTCTGTGGGGCTCAGTTGCTTCGTCATAGAGTGGGGTCATAATCCTGCTTTACCAGGCTGCTGCAAGGATTAGACTTTGATGGTTCTTTCACGCATCCCTGTGTTCATTCATTCCTCTATGTTCCGTGCACAGTGCTGGGTCCTGCAGCAGTGACAGGGCAGGCATGGGGCAGGGGGCTCTGGCTCCCAGAAGAGGCTGCCTGAGAACAAGACATTGGTGGATGCTTCCTAGGAGAGACAGTGTCTGTGCTGAGGCCAAAAGAATGAGGTGGCCAGGGAAGTGGAAGCAGTGATGCCTGGGCAGAGAGAGCAGCGTAGGAGAGGCAGAGAGGTCAGCAGGGAAAGCCTTGGCTCCAGCAGAGGCAGCGAGGAGGTGGGGGAGGGGCAGCGTGGCAGGTGGGGGAGGGGGAGGGCAGGAGACGGACCGGGGCTGCACCCTAGAAACTTGGCGAGCCTAGGGAGAAGTCTAGACTTTATCCTGACAGAGATGGGACCCCATGGGAGAGTTTCAAGCGGAGAAGTGTAGGGATTGAAGCAAAGTATCTTTTCTTACCCATCCTAGGTTCAAAAGACAGATTCACAAGAGAAAAACATAAAATGTATTTAAGTTTTACCTGACGTGGGATCCTTAATAAGTAAATGAAGACCTGAAGGAACAGGGAAGCCTCGTCTTCTTATGCTAGGTTTGATGAAGGAGTGGACTGTCTTGGAGAAGCATGACCGGATAGAAAAGTGTGGTCTCACGGCAGACTGGGGAACTCAGCAAGGCCTGTTTGCTCAGATTCTTCTGTGTCCCTGTGTCTTCAGAGACAAGGATG